TTGATTTTTTACTATACCCTGCGGACCCTAAATAATTTGTTTATGATTAAATGAAATATAATAAAAAAAGGAATAAAGAAAGCAATAAATTAAAGCAAGAGGGAAGCTTTTATCTAATGTTTGGTTTGGTTTTTACAGTTTTTATGAACATATTACATGGTAGGTTGTAACATGTTCAAATTAGAAAAGCAGCAATAGAAATAAATAAAAAATCATTTAACCCCCTCCCAACAATAATAATAAAAAAAAGGTTTGCTAAATAAATCATATTTACTTATTTATGCTGTGTAGGAAGACCATTCTATTGCTACTTCAAGATCAGTTCAGAAAAGCAGAGACTGGTAAGCTGCTTATGATCTGGCTTAGTATTATGTGTGAACACAGCCATTGTGGTCCGTTCCACCAACCATGGCTAAAACAAATCATGGTTTTGGGGAGTACATAATCACAAGGCATCTTTGGAGTCACACTTTCCTTATTTTATATTTAATGTTTGAAGAACTGAAGCTTCCAGTTGAACCCACCTGAGGAAGCCTGATGTTTGCACAAGAAGCAGGCTAGCTTTTTGTAGGGAGGCATTCACAGATCTGACTAACCCATCACTGAGAGGCAGAGCTGTCTCAAATGCAGGTATATATTAAGGGGAGAATATGTGCAGGATGTAAAAGGCAAGACAGAAAGGACAACCATTCATCAGGGAGAAGCCTTCAGGAAACAGCCCCAAATCCCAAAGGTAATTTTGAGAACTATTCAGTGATTCTTCAGCTATTCTGACGTCTTCATAGCTGTTCGCAGGTCATTATGATTGCAGCCCACTGGATAATTCCTTGGGATTAAGCTTCATCAAATATAAATAAACTTTCTTCCAAGCAAGCAGGCTATGGATCTGGATGCCTTTTAACCAAAGAATGCAGTTGATTTTTTGGGGTGTGTGGATTTTGTGTGAATTCAACTGTTGTGCCTTTTAAATTATGATTTATGACTAGGATGTTTTGTGAACCCGGTGAACTGAAACTTACTTAGGAAACCATGGTTTAAAAAATAAGGGTTAATGGGATGTGTGAACCCAGTCTTACTACTTTATAGATTCAGTAACTTGTTTTCTCATTGTAATCCACTCCAGAGATTTCCTTAATTCTTGAGCTGTCCAATAAGATTGGGTTTATCTAATCTACATATGTAGGGGTGGAGCATATATTTATATATATATATATATACAAGAATTAGCATATAACTGGGCTTTCCTTGTTAATTTACCTGACCAAGTTACTTGAAAAACGATCTCCACATGTTACTAACCTTTACCAAACATTCAGAATTTGATTTTTGATAAGTGACTTGTTGACTTTAAATCTGTAAATTATGGTATCTAAGTATGAACATACATGTTCTTGGTCAGAAGGAATTTCTTCCTTTTCAAGGGATTGTTTAATACATGCGTGGATTTTTATTGTGTTCAGGCTTCAGTTTGCTGGAATTGATGGTGGCGATATGAATTAAACAGGGTTATACACTATTCACTGCAGGTTCCAGGACACAGGCCTATAGAATGTTTTTCTGGTTGAAGGAGGACAATGAGAAGAACATCTGGATTGTACATAAATAAGCTTTGTTCTAATGTAACTAATTTTCCTCATAATGACATGGTTTTGCATTCAACAATTAAGCACTGGACCACCATCCTGTTTCCTTCTGGAGACTTCCTTAATCCCCAAATGACTAATGCATTCACTAGGCTAAGTATTTCCCATAAACAGTGGTACCTCGGGATATGAACAATCCGTTCCGTGACTCTGGGCCTATCCCGAGCTGGTCGTAACCCGAAAAGTTCGTTAGTAGAGGCGTTCGTATCCCGAGGTACCACTGTACTTTCAAATCTAGCTTTGTAATTATAAGATCTAGAAACTTTTAAAAAATAAATGCTACCTTTTCCTAAAAGAAGAACTTAACATTAGTAAAATTAAGGGAGCACACTTTCCCGGACATAGTAATATATATTTCTCTGCTTCATTTATTTTTCTTTAGTCAGCGAAGCTATACAG